GGATCCTCTCTGCTGTGGATGCAGGCCTACCCCCCTCAGTCCAGCCTCCTCTAATACAACAGCTTGGCCACTAACTTTTCAGACGTCTGAGGACAGGGCAAGGGTTGAAGACAGGGCTTTGAAGTCTGCAATCAAGCCTGAGTTACCTTCCTGACCATTGAAGAGAATGCATTCCTTCGGCTTCCTACACAGGGATAAGCTTACTACATATATATATATATATATATATATATTTTTTTTTTTCCATCATGGGCGCACAAACAGACCTAGTGATCAGTTCGCTTTAAAAAAAAATATTTTTTTGTAGAGTTAGGTTCTTCAAATTCATCTAGACCAGAGGTTGGCAAACTGGTGTGTGGGCCTATCTAGCCTGCAACCTGTATATGGCTTGCGAGCTAAAAATGGTCCTTACATTTTTAAATGGTTGAAAAGACTAGTGACACATGGAAATCAAACATCAGTGTCCATCAATAAAGCTCTCCTGGCACCCAGCCACACTTACTACGTGCTCAGGGTTGCTTTTGTGCCACAAGGAAGACTAGCTGTCACAACCTGAAAGGTGGCTAACTCCTGGTTTATACCAATTTCTTCATTTTACAGGCAAGAAAACTTAAGTCCACACAGGTTATAAGATTCATCCCAAATTGCTCAGCTAGAGTTAGCGGCTGCAGACTGAACTGTGACTCAGGTTCTTCCATTTGCCAAGCCTGAGGCCTTCTCTTTGGCTAACCAACCCTCTCTGCGCCATCTTGTCTCCTGACTCCCACCCTCACTACTCACAGACCATCACGACACAGAGGCTGCCAAGTTCTTCTTTTAGTAATTCACCAGGCTCCATGCAGGACATCACAGGGCTGCCCTCCACGAGCAGAGGAGGAGGGCTGCCTGGCAGAGCGCTTCACACTCCAGGTTAGCCAGAAAGAGCATCTTCATTTTTGTTTCCACGCAACACTTCGCTGTGAGCCTGTTGGCCAACAAAGTGGCGGCCGATTGTTGGAGGAGCCAGCCAACCATCTTGTCTAACTTCAGATTCTTCAGGGGTAGAATACGTTCACCCCAGAGGCTTAGATGAAGCACATTTGCGGCTACTCGGGCAGATGGTCTCTGCAACAGGAAGGGAAGCTGAAGCTACAACATCTGTTAACACGGTCTCAACCCAAAGCCTGTTTTGTTAGTGAGGGTCTTCCTTTCTCTGGCCCCAATCCAATTCTTCCTCTACCCTATCTCCTACTGATGTCCTTTACTCAGGTGACAAATACTGCCTGCCCCTTACCCATGCTCCAAGCTTTTCCACGTGTACACCTCTGCATGGGACGGCATGCTTGTTGGAATAGCCTTTCCTCCTGGTGGAAAGCCCAGTGCCTCTTGTGCTGTCTGGTCCCTTTAAGTTGTCTCTCATCATTTTATAACTGGTTGCAGTTTCTAACCTTCACTGTGCACCTACTGTGACCAAGATAAGCAGGCCACGTACAGGGAATGGTTAACAGAGTGGCAGAACAGTGCTGGGATGCAGGTATGGCCTAGCTCTTTGCACTAAGCCTGCCCCTGAGCCAGCTGCCACTCCAATTATGGCTTCAGATAGGTCTGCCTTTGCATTCCTTTATATTAATTTCACAGTGTCCACATCTGCTCTCAGAAGATGTTTCTCATCTATCTCTCTGATCAGTTCTCAGCTGTTTCCATGAGCTACATCTCCATTAAACATTTCTTGGCTGGGTGCGGTGGCTCACGCCTGTAATCCCATCACTTGGGGAGGCCCAGGCGGGTGGATCACCTGAGGTTAGGAGTTTGAGACCAGCCTGGCCAACATGGTGAAACCCCGTCTCTACTAAAAAAAATACAAAAATTAGCTTGGCATGGTGGCGGCCACCTGTAATCCCAGCTACTTGGGAGGCTGAGGCAGGAGAATTGCTTGAACCCAGGAGGTGGAGGCTGCAGTGAGCCAAGATAGTGCCATTGCACTCCAGCCTGGATGACAGAGCAAGACTCCATTTCAAAAAAAACCCAAAATTTCTCAAAAATACATCCTTTTTTTGAGACAGAGTCTTGCTCTGTCACCCAGGAGTGCAGTGGTGTGATCTTGGTTCACTGCAACCTCTGCTTCCCAGGTTCAAGAGATTCTCCTGCCTCAGCCTCCCGAGTAGCTGGGATTATAGGCATGCGCCACGACACCTGGCTAATTTTTGTATTTTTAGTAAAGACGGGGTTTTACCACGTTGGCCACGCTAGTCTGGAACTCTTGGTCTCAAGTGGTTTGCCTGCCTCGGCCTCCCAAAGTGCTGGGATTATAGGCCACCATACCTGGCCTCTGAACAACTTTTTAAGCAACTAACAAAGCCACAGGAGTTGAACTACTAGGACTCTCCCTATGATGTGGTGGCTAGCACTCCTACTTCTATCTACATTAAAATCTGTTTTTTATTCTCCTATGACTAGGCTTTACCTTCCACATTCCTAACACAGAGGCTCTGTCACCACGGTGCTGGCCCAAACCTAATCTTTGCTCTGGAACGAGAACTGAGGTTTCCGCCCACACTGTCCTCTTGAAGCCGGGGACAATCTCACCTTGCTGGCCTCTCGCTGGAGCAGTGCCCTCACCAGTTGTCTAGCATCTGGAGGCACCAACTCGGGCAGTGCAGGTAGCTGAGCCTCTTGGTAGCTGCGGCTTTCAAGGTGGGCCTTACCCTGGCCGTAGAAGGGATTGACAAGCCCGAAGATTTCATAGGCAATGGCTCCTACTGCCCAGGCATCAGCCTTGCTGTAGTCAATCACTGCCCTGGGGCCAGGACGGGCTGTGGACACCTGCTCAGAAGCAATGGGTGAGACGTTATGCTGGTTGCGTGTCTAACCTTTTCTGTTGTTCTTGAGGAGTCTTGCTATGTTGCCCAGGCTAGAGTGCAATGGTGCAATCTCGGCTCACTGCAACCTCTGCCTCCTGGGTTCAAGCCATTCTCCTACCTCAGCCTCCTGAGTAGCTGGGATTATAGGCGTGTGCAACCACACCCAGTTTCGTATTTTTAATAGACAGGATTTCACCATGTTGGTCAGGCTGGTCTCAAACTCCTGACCTTGTGATCTGCCCGCCTCGGCCTCCCAAAGTGCTGGGATTACAGGCGTGAGCCACCACACCTGGCCGTATGTCTAACCTTTTCATGCCCTGCACGTCATCTGATTCATGGCTAATCTGAACTCTGTCCCAAGGAACCTGGAGCTTGAGTGAGCTGCGGCTCAGACCCAGAAGGGTCTACTTAGACTGCCTGGTTCATGTGACAGGACTCGCTTTGCCTGGGATATGAGGGAAGGCTGAAGGAAAGCAAAGTGGCAGGGAAGGAACTTGTACCAAATTATGGGTCAGAAAAGATGCAGGTGCTGGGTAATCATAAGGCATCAAGTCTCATTCTGTACTCAGTGGAAGCATGGGTGAAGGGCTGCCAATAGCACATGCCGTGCTCAGAACTCACCTCTGGGGCCATCAGGCAGCCGTTTCCGCCCCGATCCACATACCAGCTGCTGAAGGGCAAATGCAGGCCGATGTTCTCATCAGCCAGGCAGCAGCCAAAATCTGTGATCACCAGCCAGGGGCAGCCATCTGGGAAGGAGCAAGCAGAGCTAAGTGGCCAATTCTCCTCCCTTCCTTCCCTCTGAGAGGCCCTAGTATGTCCCTACTAAAGCCACCAGCAAGACATGGCTGATGGGCTAACAGCTCAGTGTTGGCCCCAGAGCGCAGGCTAACAAGGCCTGAGAGCAGATCAGAAAGGCCTGCTGTGTGACCATGGAAATGCCTCCAGGAAGCATGGGCTGCAAAATCCCCAGGCAAAGGACTGTGTAAGAGCATGACTCAATTGAAATCATGTTCTAGTAACTGGAGCTGTCCCCAAGACCAAAGGAGCTGAAGCTTGGCTCAAATGATCTCCAAGGGCCCTTATATCCCAAGAGACTTTGATTTGAATTTGAAACCCCAAATCCAAACCTAAGAACCAGGTGCATTAAGAATCAGTTATTGCTGGGTGTGGTGGCTCACGCCTGTAATCTCAGCACTTTGGGAGGCTGAGGCAGTGGATCACCTAAGGTCAGGAGTTCGAGACCAGCCTGGCCAACATGGTGAAACCCCATCTCTACTATAAAAAAACTAGCTAGGCATGTTGGCGTGTGCCTGTAATCCCAGCTACTCGGGAGGCTGAGACAAGAGAATCACTTACACTTGGGAGGTGGAGGTTGTAGTAAGCTGAGATGGCACCACTGCCCTCCAGCTTGGGCAAGAGAGTGAGACTCCGTCTCAAAAAAAAAAAGGGCCAGGCATGGTGGCTCACACCTGTAATTCCAGCACTTTGGGAGGCCGAGGCGGTTGGATCACTGGAGATCAGGAGTTTGAGACCAGCCTGACCAACATGGAGAAACCCTATCTCTACTAAAAATACAAAATTAGCCGGGGCTGGTGGTGCATGCCTGTAATCCCAGCTACTCGGGAGGCTGAGGCAGGAGAATCTCTTGAACCTGGGAGGTGGAGGTTGTGGTGAGCCGAGATTGTGCCATTGAACCCCAGCCTGGGCAACAAGAGGGAAACTATGTCTCAATAAATAATAATAATAAAAAAAAGAATCAGTTATTTAGTTATTTGTAAAACAGTCCATACAAAGTTCCTTTAAAAAGCTAGTTCCCAGCCGAGCACAGTGGTTCACGCCTGTAATCCCAACACTTTGGAGGCTGAGGGGGCTAAATCACTTGAGGCCAGGTGTTTGAGACCAGCCTGGCCAGCGGTGAAACCCCATCTGTACTAAAAATACAAAAGTTAGCTGGGCGTGGTGGCACATGCCTATAATCCCAGCTACTCGGGAGGCTAAGGCACGAGAATTGCTTGAACCTGGGAGGCAGAGGTTGCAGTGAGCTCACTGCTCTCCGGCCTGGGTGACAAAGCAAGACTCTGTCTCAATAAATAAATAAATAAATGAAATTAAAGCCAGTTCATCTAATCATTTAATTATTTTAAATCTTCTAGTTCAGTGCTCACTTCGGCAGCACATATACTAAAATTAGAAAGATACAGAGATTTGCATGGCCCCTGAATCTTTAAAATTTTTTTGAAAAAAGGAATGTAGTAAAAATTTAAATATTCTAGTTCAAAAATTTATCAGATGTATGAACCTCCTTTACAGGTTTCCTAGGCAAGTGGCCATTCGGCTTCTACTTGAATGCTTCCAGTGGTGGGCAACTCATTTCCAGAGGCAACTGGGCTTACATTTGGACAGATTTCACTGTTTGAAAATTTATTAATATTTTTGAGACAGCATCTCACTCTGTCGCCAGGCTACAGTGCCGTCGCACAATCTCAGCTCACTGTAACCTCTGCCTCCTGGGTTCAAGTGATTCTCCTGCCTCAGCCTCCTGAGTAGCCGGGACTACAGGCACGTGCCACCATGCCCAGCTAAGTTTTATATTTTTAGTAGAGACAGGGTTTCACCATGTTGGCCGGGATGGTCCTGATCTCTTGACCCCGTGATCCGCCCGCTTCGCCCTCCCAAAATGCTGTGATTACAGGCGTGAGCCACTTGCACCCAGCCAAAAATTATTTTTTTATAATAAGCTGAAGTCTACTTCTCTTTTACTTTATTATTTTTTATTATTTTTTTGAGACAGGGTGTCACTCTGCTGCCCAGGCTGGAGTACAGTGGCACATTCATAGCTCACTGCAGACTCTGAAGTACTAGGCACAAGTGAGCCTCCTACCTCAGCCTTCCAAGTAGCTGGGGCTACAGGTGCATGCCACCATGCCTGGCTAACTTTTTTTTTGGCTAATTATTATTATTATTATTATTATTTTTTGTAGAGCAGGGATCTCACTATGTTTCCCAGGCTGGTCTCAAACTCCTGGCCTCAAGCAGTCCTTCCACCTCAGTCTCCCAAAGTATTGGGATTAAAGGTGTGAGCCACTGTGCCTGTCCTCTTTATTTAACTATGAAAACTTGCAGCACTGAAGTTCTTGTTCTGTAAGTGGGCAACAGAAAGGAACTTGGGAACTGCTGTCTCTCTGCAAAGACAGAACAAAAATCCCCATTCTGAGGGAGAGATTGCTAACCTCTCATGTACACAGCTAAATGAAGACACGACTTAGAACACACAACCAGAGAGGACCTAAAGAGTTGGTCCTAAATGCTCCCGACCTACCCCCTAGTGCCCCTGGAGAATGCTAATGGTGCAGCAGGTTCCTACCTGGGTCCAGCTCCACGAGGATGTTGTCAGATTTCAAGTCTCTGTGCGCGATGCCCTGTTGAACCAGATGGTCCACGCCTTCCAGCAGCTGCAGCATCATCATGGTGGCGAGGCGGGGGCTGGGTGTGTTCGTGCGAAGGTACTGGCGCAGGGTACAGGGATAGCTGGTGGAGAGGGGACAGGGCCGCTGGCTACCGAATGCTGACAACTCCTAATAGCCCTTTTTTTTTTTTTTTTTTTTTTG